TATATATACATATTCTAAAACTTGGAGTTCATTTACGGCTGTATAGCGTAAATGCGAGAGAAGGGTATTTTGCATGGCTCCACAGTCCCCAACCAATGTGTCTGAGACAGTGATGGTCAAAATTGGTGGAAAGAAAGGAGTTGGAAAAGAGGACCCGTGGTTAATATGGTTTTAGACATGCTTACTGGACTCAGCGGTCATGTTTCTCTGGAATGTTGCCACATGGATTGTGACTGTAAGTCAGAGATTCGGGCCAAAGGCAAGGATTTGGGGATAATGGGCATAATGTGACTGGACCGTGAGACATTGATGCAGAAGAGGTTCCAATTGGAAAGCACTGTATTTGGAGCATTGGGGGAGAGGAAGAGAAACTACCCAGGAATCGGGGACCAAAAGTAACAGCTGCACCATCCTAAGCCCTTTGCAAGCTTTGTTGTTGTTGCTGAGTGCCATCAAGTTGATTCTGACTCACAGAGACCTTATGCAGGACTTCCAAGGAGCAGTTGGTGGATTAGCAAGCAGTCCATGCTGATCCTACAGCATCACACCAGGAGTTCGTTATCCCCAAAAATCCTAGTACCGTAGGAGAAATGCTCTACCATTGTCTCAGGCTCAGGGAAGCTAACCAACTTGTCCCAAACTGCTTTAAGTGGTAAGTGGTAATACTAGGATTTGAATCTTATTCTACTTCAAAGAGTTTGATTTCTTAACAATAGTTCTAGATTGCCTTTTTCCAGGAGAACAAGAGAAAACAGGGATTCTCTTAAGAGAGGGTGATCACTCATTTTGAAGAAGTCCAGACTAGGTAGAAAGACAGTCATGGGTCAATATTTTCAGGGTACGGGAGGCGCTGGAATCCTGGTCACTGAATATGAAGAAGAGACTCAATAGTAAGGAAGTTGCACATAGATCCTTGGGCCACCAACTGGAATAGTAGAAGGAAGTGGAAGGAGCACAGTAGAGAGTGTTTCCTAAGTTCAAAGAAGTCCTAAGAGTGTTTTTAGGTAAGAGGATATCGTAGATCAGTGATATTGGAGACTGAAGAAAACAAAAACCATCTTCACACGGCATTGTATGGCCATACACTTGAAGGCCCTCAGATAGGGTCACTGTGTGTAAATACCATGCTGCACATGCAAGCTGTCCAGGGAGAGGCCTTAAGTGTGAGGTGTCTGACTGTCCTGACGGTTGTTGTTGTTAAGTGCCTTCGAGTCAGTGCTGGCCCATAGCGACCCTGTATAGGGTTTCCAAGGAGCAGCTGGTGAGCTTGAACCGCCAACCTTGCAGTTCAAATGCCTTTGCAGTCTGGTGCATTAACCCGCAGTGCCACCCCAGGACTCCAACAGTAGTGCCTCACATTTGTATGAGCCTATACCTTTATGGCTTACAAAGTCACTTTCATGATCTTTACCTCATTTCTCTAGCCTTTGAACTATTTCTTGTAGAGAAATTCTAGAATCAGAGAGGCCTAAATGACTTGCGAACAAGCTGGGACTCACCTCCAAGTTCCCAGAAAGGAGTGAGTTGTTATAAGGGCAACTCATTCTCCCTGTGTCATTATTAAACATGAAATCCCACTCTTTGGGAAGTGATGAAAGGGTAACTTCTGCCCCTTTTCCTCCGGGTCTTTGGTGCTTCCTCAGGGAAAGAGTAGTAACATTTGGTGAGTAGAGACAAAGGAACTGAACAGGTTCAGCTCAGCCCCTATAGGGTTCTCCTTTGCCATTTGCCCACTCACCTGTAAACTGGTTTCTCTGGCATTCCTTGACATGAGATCGGCTTTCCAAGATAGGCTCTGCCTGCTGTAAGACAAAGCTTATAGTAAGATCTGGCAGCTGGGTGCAAAATTTCAGGTGAAAGTACTAACTTCAGATCCAAGCTGCATTCCCCAATCCAGCTTGACTAGGATTGAAGCTACTTGCCCGCCTGATGTGGTGCTAAACTTGGTTTGGAGATGGGAGGAATAGGGAAAAAGAGGTATCAAGTATTTCCTGCTAATCCATCAAAGAGAGATTTGAATCCTTTAGTCTTTTCCATGGAAGCTAAATACCAACTTAAGAACTGAAAAGATCTTAAAATTCTTCAGCCAAATTGAAGAGGGGTTTTGTGCTTTGTGGTGGGTCAGGAAGGGGTCCTGTAATCACTTGTTCCTTCATCTGCAGGTGAATGAGCAAATGAAGTTGACAGTTACGGGACAAGATTCTATGGTGGTCACCTTCACTTCCCTGAACGAGACAGTAACACTCACTGTATCGGTCAACAATTGTCCTCATGGGATGGCACATGATAAACGAGTAAGACAAAGCTGACCAGCACCCAGCTCTGAACCCAGGGCATCCGTGTGTGTGTGTGGGGGGGGCACCTCAATGTCTTGGCTCATGCAGCACCCCCTGCTGCAAGGCCCTACTTGCCTCGTTTTCTGTCTGATAAACTCATGGCCTAACCTTGGAATCACTTTCTTTGTGAAATTTCTCAGACCATGTAAGAGTCTTTCAGCCATAAGTGGCAGGGCCCAATGCAAACCTGTCTAAGCATAAAAAGAAAATATATTGGCTCAGCAGTCAAAGTCTGCCAGTATCTAGTTTCAGACTGAAGCCAGATCTCCAGTGATTCCACAAATGCTTGCCCTCTCTTGACTCTGTTTTCCTCTTTATTAGATTTACTGTCAGGAGGTGTCGGTCTTTCTGGTGACTAGATGCTCATGAGTATCTCTGGCCATTAGTCTACCAGTTCTCATCTCCCAAGGAGAAGTGGGGCTTCTCTTTCTTAAGTGCTATGGTAAAAGTGTCAGCTTTGATACCAGTTGACCCTATTGACTGCTCATGGTTGAAGCATTGCATGTGTCCTGCTATTAATCATGTCCTAAGTGAACCTTCTAAGGAGCTCTAGTAGCGTAGTGGTTACGAATCAGGCTGAGAATTGCAAGGTCAGCAGTTTGAAACTACCAGCTGTTCCACGGAAGAAAGATGAGGCATTCTGCTCCCGTAAAGATTTACAGCCTCGGAAACCCTGTACAGTGTCGCTGAGTCAGAACCGACTCCATGGCACACAGCCACCACCAAGTGAACTTTCTATGGAGTCCTGGTGTGGCGCTGTGGGTCAATGCGCCAGACTGCAAAGCCGTTTGAACTGTAAGGTTGGCGGTTCAAGCTTACCAACTGCTTCTCAGAAACCCTATACAGGGTCGCTATGGGTCAGAACTGACTCCATGGCACTTAACAACAAGTGAACCTTCCGGACTAAACATAAAGCAAAAGTATTTCCCGAAAGGAAAAATGATGCTGGAGAGAACATCTTCCTCAAGTGTTGGCCACAGGCTCCATCTCCCCAACTCCTTTCCCACCCAGGTAGAACCATGCCTCCCTATGCTAGGCCCTCCAGCTGAGATACATCTCTATTATATTGTTATTAAGTTGGTTCCAACCCATAGCAGTCTTGTATAGGGTTTCCTAGGAGCAGCTGGTAAATTTGAGCTGAAGATCTTGTGGTTAGCAGCCCAGTGCTTATCCTACAGCACCTCACCAGGATTTCACCTATATTCTAGCATTCCTTTATTTATGAGCAAGCTTCTCTACCAAACTGAAAAGCCCATTAGTCTTACTAATGTCTATTTCCCCAGAGCCCAGCACAAAGCCTACTTAAATTAAGTACTTAATAAATATTTGTTCCACCACCCATCTGTCAGTTTGTCATACTGTGGTGGATCGCATGTTGCTGAAAGCTATGGTACCAATATTTCAAACACCAGCAGGGGCATCTATGGTGAACAGATCACGGAGGAGCTTCCAGACTAAAATAGACTATGAAGAAAGTGGTGGTAGTGGTCTACATTTGAAAATTAATCGATGGAAACCCTCTGAGTCACAACAGGACATTGCCCCATAGTGGAAGATGAGTCCCTGGGTTGGAACGCACTATGTCATAACTGCACAATGGAGGCATAGATACTGACAATCCTGACAATGGTTCAGGACCACATGATAGTCTGTTACCTTGTGCTTGTAGTCACCATAAATCAGAACTGACTTGGTGGTAGCTAACAACAAATATTTGTTGGATGAAAGAGAAAATAGAGACTTTCCGTTGCTGAATCTCCGTAGACCCTGCAATGTGACTGAGAAGAGATGAAGATGGAGACGATGACTAGACCGCAGCCCCTAATGCCTGAGAAGCACGTATAATCCTGAAAAGAATGCTTGACACGGACACTGGAGCAGCCAAGGGCTTTGTGCATTCCACAAAGGCACTTCACTGGGCCTGGCTTATTCAGCGAAGGCTTCTGGGTGCAGGAACAGGATGACCACACCTCCCACTTGCCCTGGGCCAGCCTCAGATCACACCTGGTAGATTACAGCCTGGTAGATCACAACCTGGTAGAATTATGTTGTTGTTGTTGTTATGTGCCGTCGAGTTGGTTCCGACCCATAGCGACCCTGTACAGGGTTTCTGAGGCTGTAAATCTTCACGGGAGTAGAAAGCCTCATCTTTCTCCCATGGAGCAGCTGGTAGTTTCGAACCGCTGACCTTAAGGTTCGCAGCCCGATTCGTAACCACTGCGCTACCAGAGCTCCTTGGTAGAATTATAGCCTACCAGGTAGAATTATAGCCTGGTAGAATCCGTAACAGCACCACCATTTTCAAACATGTCAGGTTTGAATGATGCTATCTGTGGTTATCCTGAGTACAAGGTATGGAAACTATGGAGGTAAATGCCACTGAATGCCATGGGCCAATAGACTTGCAGAGCTGACCAGTACACCTGTCAATTCCAACTCATGGTGACCCCATGTGTGTCAGAGTAGAACTGTACTCCATAGGGTTTTCAATGGCTACAAATTGGAATCGATCCATCACTAACTAGGCCTTTCTCCCAAGGTGCCTCTGGTTGGACTTGAAGTTGTGGCCTTTTGGTGAGCAGCTGAGTATGTTTGCACTGCCCAGAGACTCCACAGTTGACACAGCTCCTAAAGAACAGCTGCCCCATTACCCTCACTGTGCATAGGGAGTTGTTGGGGATCAATTGCATCTAAACAAGACCCAGAAAAAACTCTTATGTTTTTCCTGGAGGAATAACCTGTCTTTTCCACTGCACTTTCAATGCAGCCGCATTACAGTTTCATCAGTTCATTAACTAAGTCAATTAATGTCGATCAGCATCTGCACTGTGCCACGTTGGTGAACTCAAACCAAACCCACTGTTGTTGACTTGATTCTCACACACAGTTACACTTACAGGACAGAGTAGAACTGCCCCATAGAGTTTCTAAGATTGTAAATCTTTATGGAAACAATTGGCCACCTCTTTCTCCCATGAAGCATCTGGTGGGTTACTACTGCCAACCTGTTGGTTGCCAGCCAAGCACTTGAACCATGGTACCACCAAACTGATGGGGATGTGGAAATGAAGACATTAAGTTAACCTTCACCTCTGGAATACTTTAGTCTATTGGGACTAAACACACTACCACCAGTTATAATCCAGTTTGATGAGTGTGCTGTGTCATATACAGAGTTGTTGTGGGCTACTGGGAGTCCTAGTGTGGCACTGCAGGATAATGCGCCGGACCACAAGGTCAGTTTGAAACGTAAGGTCAGCATTTCAAACTCACCAGCATCTCCTTGGAAACCCTATACAAGGTTGTTATGAGTCAGAACTGACTCGACGGCACTTAACAACAACAAGTGGACTACTGAGGAACTGAAGAGAGAAAGTGTTCACTGAGGGGACCACAGAGGAACTCTTGGGGAATACGGGAGCCAGTGAATTCCACCTGGACTGTTTACTTCAAAGATCAAAATATCCTTAGGATGTTTAGTACATCTGGGCTGACAGAAACTCTCAGGTTTATAGATGACCTGATGTCAATTTAGCCACTTGTCATTACTCTAGATGCCATTGCTAAGTGGTCACATGCAAGCTATGTATGAGGTCATACATCTGTTTCTTTAATACTTTTTTAGGCTGTGAAAAAAATGTAAGTTTTATTTTTCTCTAAAAGGCAATCGATTTTAGAAAAGTATTCATTCTCATAAAATTGCAGAAATGCTTCCGTTTTCCTGGCAGCCCCTGGTCTGGTTATTTCTGAAGTCTGGAACAGAGCTTAGAACAATCCAGAGAAGTCTCTCTAACTCCATGTTCTATGCATGGCCTCTGGGCACTGGAAACCAACAGCAGCATCAGTAACCATCCAGCTGACCTCCGCTCAACCTGACCTCACCTGTGTCAGAGGAGAGCTGTGCTCCATAGGGTTGCAGTGGCTGAGTTTTCTAAAGTAAATTACCAGGCCTTCCCCCTGAGGTATTTCTGAGTAGACTTGAACAGCCAAATTTTCACTCAAGCACTTGAACCTTTTACACCACCAGAGACTCCAAGCATAGGAAACCCTCAGTATTTCAAGTCTTTCTTTTTTTTTTTTTTTTTTTTATTCTTTCAACTTGAGACCTTAAGCAATGTTTGCAAAACACAAGTCCAGAGCTAGGCTGTTCAATACGTTAGTCACAAGCCACATGCACTTGAATGTGACTAGCCATTTT